TTTGGGTTTAGGGTTTAGGGTTTAGGGTTTAGGGTTTAGGGGTTCATGCGCCTGAAAGAGGGGATATGTTGGGATGTTCCCCCTTATACTAACAGTCTTAAAATGGGGACTGTAATAGGGGGTACTATAGTCCCCATTAAGGACTGTTCGTATAAGGGGGGGCATCCCAAGCAATATACCTAAAACCCACAATAAGGGGGCCCATCTTGGGGGTTTAAGATCTATTCCTTCCTCAAGGGGGTATCCGGTTCTCTGGGCTTCGCAACAGCTCTGCTAAACCCTAAACCCTAAACCCTAAACCCTAAACCCTAAACCCTAAACCCTAAACCCTAAACCCTAAACCCTAAACCCTAAACCCCAACCCTAAACCCTAAACCCTTGCAACCAAGCCGCTGAGGGCATGGAGGGCCGCCGCACCGAAGCGGCCGGGACTTCCAGCTGCTCGGAGTCCGTGAGCACCAGGAACCTGCCCACCATTCTTGGGGGGTGCACTGTTTTAAATTATATTTTTGATTATGTTTTATTATTATTATTACTATTATATTATTATTATTATTATTATTATTATTTCGTTATTCTTATTTTTATTGTTGTTAGTGTTTTTATTTTGTTTCTTATTGGGTTTTTATGTGCTCATAAAAGTGTAAAATGATTTTCAACAATGGCCCAGGAACCCGGAGGCCGTCTCCGCCAGCACGGTCCCGATCTTCCACTGGCCCTCTCAGACCAAGAGATTGCAAAAGAGAATGGGTGAAATACACCAAAAAACAATTAAAAGATAGTAGAAATAATAATCATAATAGTAAGCATAATAATAATCATCATCATAATCATAATAACAATAGTAATAACAATAATAATAACAATAATAATGACAATAATAATAACAATAATAATAACAATAATAATAACAATAATAATAACAATAATAATAACAATAATAATAACAATAATAATAACAATAATAATAACAATCATAATAATAATAATGATAATGATAATGATAATCCCCATTGAAGGGGCGTTCGCATGCGAATTGACAGCTTGTCTGCTTCTTTGCTTTCTTCGGGGCCTGGCTCAGCACCTGGACGTCCGAGCCGACCTCACCCATTTTCGGGAGATCTTAGCATGTTTAGGGTTTAGGGTTTAGGGTTTAGGGTTTAGGGTTTAGGGTATAGGGTTTAGGGCTCCCCAAAGAGCCCAATGCTTCTTAACTGAGGAATAGGGCGCAAACCATACCTTTCGCATTTAGGGTTTAGGGTTTGGGGTTTAGGGTTTGGGGCTCAGGGTTTTGTTGTAGCTTCTGTCTACGACACTTCAAGTATTCTGTACTCGACCACTGGCTGGGACGGCACAGCAACTGGCGCCGCAGGGTTTCGGGTTTAGGGTCTAGGGTCTAGTGTCTAGGGTTTAGGATTTGGGGTTTAGGGTTCCCAGCACATGTCATTGTTTGTCATGCCTCCTGTTGCACCTCAGGATGGCACAGCCATCTCCCAGGCCGGCTATGAGTTTCGCGGCAGTTCCCCCGATCTCGCTCAGCGAATGAAGGGTTTCTCGATGGTTCTGCAGCGGAATGTGGTAGCTTTTAGGATTTAGGGTTTAGGGTTTAGGGTTTAGGGTTTAGGGTTCTGATCTTCTTCACTGGCAAGCCTTGAGCTGCAGTGGAATGTGGTAGCTGGCGCCCCAAGACCCGCTCCACAACGGATACCCCGAATTTCCACAACATCCCAGTATCCCGGCAACGTGCCCTTCGCAAAGAAGTCTGGCACTTGGAACTCCAACTTCTCAAGAAAAACCACGCAAGCACGCTGAACTGACAGAACAGACTCGTACTAGTCTCGCAGGGTTTAGGGTTTGGGGTTTAGGGTTTAGGGTTTAGGGTTTAGGGTTTAGGGTTTAGGGTTTAGGGTTTAGGGTTTAGGGTTTAGGGTACTCATCAAACAAAAGAAAGCATGCCTACGGGTACTGTAAGAGCTTCGGAAGGGGAGAAACGATGATGTGAAGCAGGAGGTCGAAATGAGGAAGCATGAGCAGGCTCAGGAAATCGAAAGGACTGGAATTTCGAGAGAACCTCTTGGCAATTGGCAGGGGGTTACTTCTTGAGTACAGCGCCATCGCCTCTCGAACTTGTGGCTGGGTTGAAACGAAGTTTGCGGTACACGGGAGAGCAGAGAGGAGTGCGCCAACTGAGAAATCACTGTGCACAGTGGACTGATGTGGAGCACCCTAAACCCTAAACCCTAAACCCTAAACCCTAAACCCTAAACCCTAAACACTAAACCCTGAACCCTGAACCCGGCCTCGAAGCTCACCTTGAGCTCGAAGGGCCTGGGTGCCACTGGGCCTGGGCCCAGCGGGCCCGGGCCCAGCGGGCCGCCCAGGCTCACGCTGGGGCTCGCAGGTGCTTCCTTGGCCATGAGGGCCGCCGCAGCTTTGGCGGCTGCCTGCAGCACGGCAGGGTTTAGGGTTTAGGGTTTTTTTGGGGGGGTTTGGGGTTTAGGGTTTAGGGTTTAGGGTTTCGGGTTTAGTAGGGTTTAGGGTTTAGGGCTTCAGCCACCCAGCCTCTGCCAAGTTCAGTGGCCCCGGGGGCGCCTTTGGCTGAGCACTGCCCGAGCTGGGCGCCGGGTTAAAGACGCCGAACTTGGGCAGCCCCGGCCGCACTGGCACAGGCCCTCGGAGCGCTCCCGGGAGCGCTCCAGGTGTGCCTAAGGCTACTGGGCTGACTGGGCAGGCTGCTGCCGGGGTGGCCAAGGGGGCGATGGGCGCGCCGGCGACGCCAGCGCCGGCGATACCTCGCAAGTTTGGGCAGCATGGCGCGGCATAACCCTTGATGTGACAAAGCCCCGCTGGTCGCCTGGAGGTCCCTGAGCAAGCCTGGAAGCAGATCACGCGCAGCTCTCACGAAGTGTTCCCTTCTGTTTCGAAGGGACGGGCTGAACAAAGCGGTTCCGTCTGCCCACTGAAGCTTGGGCGGCTGCATGGGGCTGGACTCGTCTGCCTTCAAGTCCTCCACTGACTCCACTGCCCATCTTTGCCCTGATGACAGCATGCGTCAGCCCGCCTGGATGAGATCCTGCGGCAGTGAAGGCCCTGAGGGCGCTGATGGTGTGCTGCTGAAGTTCGTCGTCGTCTTCAAAGGGCCTAGGGGAGGTGCATGCTTTGCTCTGAATTCAATGCTGTGCTCTGCTTTCTTCCGTCTGGTGAAACTGCTTGTGACTTGGTGAGCGGCGCTTTTCGCGAGGTGGCGACCTGCGAAAGCATGCTGAGATTGATCCTGTGTCGAAACCTCCTCTCCCTCCTACTTGGAGGTTCATGGGACTTAATAGCCACTTTATAAGTAGGGTTATAAGTACAGTTATAATTTGTTAGTAAGTACCATGAACCTTCAAGTACTATTTCTCAGAAAGCATTTTAGGTTGGGGTCGCGCCGCGAGCGTGATCGCGAGGACCGGGAGCGAGAGCGCGAGGAGCGGCGCCTGGAAGGAACCAAATGGAGCTTCCTCCCATCAGCCAAGGCACAGTGACTCAGCGAAGTTGTTGCCTTTAAGGGATTGGGAGCTATAGGGTCTCTATGCAATCCCTCTAAAACATGAGACTGTGTTTTTGGTTCTGTTTTGGAAAACACTCCCCTCTAAGCCCTACATTACGAACCCCAAAGGCTGCATGCGAAATCGAACAACAAGTCCACGTCACGACTACAGTCCCATCCCCGCCCCCCACCCTGCCTCCGGTCACGCCGATCCCGGCTCCGGTCGCTCCTGCGGCCATCCCGGCCGCGCCGGTCATCGCGCCGGTCCTCGCGCCGGTCCTCGCGCCGGTCGCGGCCGGCGTTGCGGCGGTCCCGGCCATCCCGGCCATCCCGGCCATCCCGGCCATCCCGGCCGCGGTCCCGTCGACTCCTGGCGCACATCCGTGCACTGCAACATGCTGCCATGGTTGGAGAAGGGTTATCTTGCTACATCCTGCCTTTCACGCGTCCTCTGCCCACTTCGACCTGAACCACAGCACAAAGTCTGACTCTGTTCTGCCTCCCCAAATGCGCCATCAGCATTCTGCTCTTCTTGAACTCCGCACAAAAGGATACCTTATAACCCTACTTACAATACCCCTAAAGGGCCTTATAGGGGTTATCCCTATTATAAGCAAGGTTATAAGCAGTTATAATTGGTTAGTAAGTACCATGAACCTCCAAGTAAGCCCTGGTTGGCGTGAATGAGGTTGCAGTATTGAGTACAGTACCGCCGGGTTTGTCACGCATCCGTCTGCGGGAATACACATCCCCCCGTTGTGAACGCGCCACAGTGGAAATTCACATCATTGGCGGAATCACACATCAAGGCAAAGCAATCCCCAAAGCAGCAATCATGGATTAAACTGCCCAATTTGCCGCGGACGCTGGCGATGTTGGCACATCATTCTATCGTATTCTAGCTGCCAACGACGATGGAGAATCTACTGACGCAAGCCCAGTGTAGCCCAGCAACTATAGCGTGATAAGGGCATCTTTTTGGGGGGCCAAACCCCAAACCCCAAAACCCTAAACCCTAAACCCTGAACGCCCAATTAGGGAGCGCTTTGTAAAGAAAGCTCGGCAGCTGACGGCCGCGGCCCCGACTGCGACTGCCGCGACTGCTCCTGGAGCCTCGGCGAGAAAAGTTTAGGGTTTAGGGTTTAGGGTTAGGGTTTAGGGCTTAGGGCTTAGGGCTTAGGGTTTAGGGTTTAGGGTTTAGGGTTTAGGGTTTAGGGCTCAGGGCTCATGTAAGGATTTCCATATGATTTAAGGTACCTTCAAGTCGAAGAGACGGAAAGAACTCAGTAGTAAATAGGCTTTCAAGGGACCAAAGAAGGACCCTTCTAAGGGACCTTAGGGGTTCCTTGGGGGTTATTTGGGGGCTACTTAGGTACAGTGGGTCCTTTATGGTAAAAGTAGGGGGGTAGATTGGGGGAATAAGATGAAGGGGGTTTTTTCTAGGGGTCCCCCCTTCTGCCCGTTTCGGTTTTTAGCTCCGCCGGCCTTGTCGACTGCGACCGCTTCGACCGGTCTCCTTGCTCTCCTTCACCTTCGCTTCCTTCGACGCCTTCTCCCTCCTTTCCTTCTTCTCCTTCTCGTCCTTTTCTTCCCTCTCCTTAGTCTGCCCAGGAACCAATATCAGAATCAGAATAAGGGTAGTTAGCCTTTTGGTGACTGTATAGGGGAACCCAGAACCCAGAAGAAGGGGCAGAGGGCAGAACGGCAAAAAGGGCTCCACCTTGGGCTGCCAAGTCGCATCTTCAGCTTCTTTTGCAGGCTTCGGCTCGGGCGCTTCGGGCGTCTCCTCAGGCGCTGCCCGCTCCAGCTGGGGCTCCGCCGGAGGCTCCGCAGGAGGCTCCGCAGATGGCTCCGGCTGCCCGGGCGCTGGCGCGGGCGCTTGCGCGAGCTGCTCCTGCAAAGCCGCCTGCACCTCTCGCACCAGCTGCGGCTGCAGCTTCCGCGCCTCCTGGGCAAAAAACTCGAAGGGGCGGTGGGAAAAGCGTGAACAATGCGAGGAACCGACTCCCTGTCAAGGTCTGCCTCCAGGGGATCTGGCGGCGGCTCCTCGCTATTCAGCTCGACGGCAAAGCACCTGCCGCACTGCCATCACTGACCTTTGCCTCGCTTGCCATCTACCCTAAATCCTAAACCTTAAATCCTGAACCCTGAACCCTAAACCCTAAACCCCACACCCTAAACCCTAAACATTAAACCCTAAACTCAGTGCCGGACATTCTGGACTCAATAGCGTTCGTGGCTGCCTTGCAAGTGGCAGGCTTTGGACTGATGCTGGCAGACTGCCAGTTTGCGGTCTTACTAAGGGTTGCATGGCGCTCTGCTGCTAGCTCCAGAGAGCCAAAAGCCCCTTAATTAAGGAATGTACCTTAAACTATGCAGGGATCCGTAGCACCATTTTTAAGGCATGTTCCTTAACTAATGAGGCATTGGGCTCTTTGGGGTGTTCGCTGCTCACCGGCTTCTCGCTCGCGCCTTGACCTTCAGCGGCAGCACCACCAAGCTCTTCTCGGGCACCTCCACGTCCAGGCCGCGCTTCACCCGCGCGATGCCTCCAGAAGCGTCCTGGAAAGCGAACAGGAAACGATGTGCTCGAAACAAAAGCAGTGCACACAAAGCCATGAGCGGCAAAGACGCATACAGAGACACACACACACACACTCTCTCTCTCTCTCACTCTCTCTCTCTCTCTCTCTCTTGCCCAGCGAAGAGAACCCCGCAGGACGCCCCTCTCTCTCTCTCTCGCTCTCTCTCTCTCTCTCTCTCTCTCTCTCTCTCTGTCTCTCTCTCTCTCTCTTTCTCTCTCTCTCGCTCTCTCTCTTACGTAGAGACTCAAAGACATCAAAATCTGCTTGGGCCCCGTTTATGAACCAAGGCACGCATCAAACAAGGCACCAAACCGCTTGCGCAACCATCTTGCCCTCAATGAGCACAATACCCCTTAAGCCAGGAATATGCCTTACATCATACTAAGGGTCCCTCTCTATATATGGTTTAAGGCATATTCTGAGTAGGTTTTTAAGGGCTCTCCGGGCCTTGAACCCGGTGCCATTGGAAGAGAGGTCCCGCAAGCACCTCAGCGCTGCCCGCTTCTTCAGGGTTTAGGGTTTAGGGTTTAGGGTCTAGGGTTTAGGGTTTAGGGTTTAGGGTTTAGGGTTTAGGGTTCAGGGTTTAGGGTTTAGGGTTTAAGGTTTAGGGTTTAGGGTTTAGGGCTCCTTTCTGGGAGGACCACTTGGGTGAGCCCTTAATAAGGTCCCTGAAGTAAGGAAATAGAAAACTCTAAGCCCTAGGCCTAAACCCTCAACCCTCAACCCTCAAGCCTCAACCCTCAGCCCACCATCACATCTCTTATTCAGAAATCCAGTGTTTTTGCTTTCTTCGCTAAGGGCCATTGGGCCGTCTGCGACATGAAATCCTAACCAGTCTACCCAGGTACTCCAATACTCTTTATTGAAGGGATATTCCTGAAACCATATATGGAACCTTACTTACTATATGTTAAGGAATATTCCTTAGTTAAGGGGTATTGGGGTCCGCGGAGTAGCTGGGCTTGCAGAGAAAGAAGCTTTCTACCTTCTAGCTTCGGGACCTAAGTAAATGCTCGCTGGTGCTTGTTTCGCCACCCGTCTAGCACTTGGGTCTACTCAGAGAGCCCTTAAAAGTCCTAATTCAGGAATCGACCTTAAACTATATAGGGATCCTTAGAATATGATTTAAGGTATACTCCTCAATTGAGGGGTATGCAGGGCTCTTTCGGTGTAGCGCTTGGCATTGTAAAACCTCAACCCTAACCCTAAACCCTAAACCCTAAACCCTAAACCCTAAACCCTAAACCCTAAACCCTAAACCCCAAACCCCAAACCCCAAACCCCAAACCCCAAACCCCAAACCCCAAACCCTAAACAAACCTTACTTCGACCAGCTCGGGGTTGGGCAGAGCTCCATTGGCCCCCAGCCGCAGCTCCGCGTGGGCC